CATTTTTGCAATTTCTGAATTTCATGCTCTACTTTACTGAAGGATCAACAAATTCTTTTGATCCTGTTCAGAATAACAGCTTCAGATACATCACGTAATACAAATTAGAAAACCATGCTGTTTGCCACTAACGGTCGCAGGGAGGGGGTACATCAGCACTTCAAGGCTTCATGGACGTATCTGCTTCATGTTGGCTCTAACAACATGCATATCGTGAAAATGAAAAGGTTTCTGTTGGCGTCAACGAAAGTACTTTTGATCCATATGAAATATAAATTCATGTCCCTAATTATTGTTTGCCATTGTTTTTGTGCATTATATGTACATTGTTATACCAAAAGCCGGTGACTGCTAATATGTTAGCCGGTGTCAGTTTCATGTGCCATTTCCGCTAATTTAAATAGTAAACTAGACTAGATGGACCAAGTTTAAAGAAAACTAGACTTGGTTTACATAGACACTGCTTTAAAAAACGATTCAAGCAAGTCATTACACTGAATTACACAGCAAAACTACATCAACCCTTACTTCTGAAACTTACAAGGGACATTAAAGGTCATTTCATATGTTAATAAACATCTCTATTGGTGCCACAGGCAAGAATTTTTCTCGAACCATACCCCTTCAGCCGGTTTTAAGAACAAGTACTTTGTTTTATCCAATAACATGACGATGCTGTGCATTCACGCACAGCAAATGTTAAGGATCAAAAAGCTTTGACGGGTTTAACCCATCCCCTATAATAAAGATCTATCTACCTCCCTACAGATAAAAGAGGGCGATTCGACTTTGCCGCATAGCCCGGTATGATGAGTTATCTCCCCTCGCAAGTATTGGTGCAATCCAACTCTAGTTTGTCTTAAACGGAAGAACTCAGCAAATGCACTTTGACGATAACCATCAAGATCATCCGCCCATCCATAAAGCATTGCAGAACAATGTAAAAGGTGGAAACATCCCGTTGAAGAAGACCTGCTTACGGAGAGGAACATTAACTTTGCCATAGCAGTAAACTTTACCTAATATCAAATTGAAGCAAAATTTCCAATGGTTAGACATCATAAATCTGGTCCATTCTAATGCTGAAGTTCATCTAACTTCAGATGATGACAAAATACAGTACGGCTAATCATAAAATTCTAGCGGAGCGAAAATTCGACTTTTAAAACATGCGATAAACATATATTTTTGCTATAATTCATTGTTACCAAAGCCACCGACTCTCAGGTGTACACACCCAAATGCCGCAATGACATTCTAACGGGGTGGTTATGTGCAGTAGTGTTCAGAAATGATTTTCTGAAAACGGATTGGTTCACGGAACGGAACGGTTTTTGTTATTTGAAAAAGGTTACTATGGTTCTGTGGAAAAGTATAAGTTGTTTTGAAGTTCCTCTACCAAACTGAGCACTGCCTCAGTCCAATCAATAAATGATATTCTTGTTGGGGCAGGAGGGGGACATAGTCAGACAATTTTTTCATGCAGTTTGCGCACGTGCAGTGCTATATGTTGTGTAGCTCGGTTCGCTAGAGCTAAACAGTTTTTCTTGTGAGTGATATTGCAAGAGGTCTTACTCCTTATATTCAACCGCATAAACATAGATAGGTTCCCACACCGTAGTATGTCGAATGATGCATAAAGCTCCTAGGACATGATTCAATTTTTTGTGGTAGCAAGTAGTATTACTGTCTCTTGAAATACTGCTCATGATGAGCGGAAGGTTGCTCTAGCGGACAAACTAATTCTAGTAGCCTCTGGCAATAGATATGTTAAAGTACCATGGATCTGCATTATGCCGAAATCTCTCATTACAATTACAGCCTCAGCATATTTTCTAAAATACTCTGAATTTTTATTATGCGCTCATTATTTTACTAAGTTCTGAATTCGCCGATGAATGCATATTGATCATATTACTATAATAAAGATTTATAACTAAATTATACGTGAATTCTAAAAAAAACTGGAAAACTGTTAGTCGACGAAAGCATGGTAAATTTTATCATATCGCATTCTATCTGTCAGACGATAACCATG